TATCTTTGGAAAAATGTGTACTCAGATCCTTTGCCCATTTTATTTTTAAAAAATTGAAGTATGATTGACAAACATTGCATATATTTAAGGGGTACAATGTGTTGTTTTGATATATGTGTACAATGTGAAATGATTCCCCCAATCAAGCTAATTAACCTATCCATCCCTTCACACATTTACTTTTTTAAATTTTTGGTGAGAATACTTAATGTCTACTCTCTCAGCAAATTTCAAGTATATAATACATTAACTATAGTCACCATGTTGTACATTAGCTCTCCAGAACTCATTCATCTTATAATTGAAAGTTTGTACTTTTTGACCAGCATCTCTCACATTTTCTCCCCTACTCCTCTAGCCCCTGGCAACCACCTTTCTACTCCATTTTTATGAATTCAATTCTTTTAGATTCCACATATAAGTAAGATCATGCAGAATTTGTCTTTTTGGTTTTGATCTCCTGACCTCAAACGATTCTCCCACCTTGGCCTCCCAGAGAGCTAGGATTACAGGCGTGAGCCACTGTGCCAGACCACAGAATTTGTCTTTCTGTATCTGGCTTACTTTACTTAGCATAATGTTCTCTAGGTTCATCCATGTTGTCACAAATCCTTTGCCTATTTTTAACTGGGTTATTTGTCTTTTTAGTATTTAGTTGTATGAATTCTTTATATATTCTAGATATAAGTCCCTTATCAGATGCAAAAGTTTTCTCCTATTCTGTGGACTGTCTTTTCATTTGCTTGATAGTGTCCTTTGAAGCACAAAATTTAATTTTAATAAATTCTAATTTATTTAAATTTTTTTATTGTTGCTTGTGCTTTTGGTGCCATATCTGAGAAACCATTGCCCAATACAAGGTCACACAGATTTACATCTATGTTTTCTTTTAAGAGTTCATAGTTTTAGCTCTTATGTTTAGGTCTCTAATGTAATTTGAACTTTTTAAATATAGGGTAAGGGGTAGGAGTCCAAATTCACTCTTTTGTATGTGGATATCACAGTTATCCTAGCACCATTTGTTGAAAAGATTATTCTGTCCCTATTTAATGCTCTTGGTATACTTGTGTGTGTGTGTGTGTGTGTGTGTGTATATATATATATATATATATATATATATATATATATATATATATTTATCACTAATTCACCATAAACATGAGGGCTTACTTCTAGACTCTCAATTCTAATCCATTGATCTATATGTCTATTCTTATGCCAGTACCACACTATCTTGACTAGTGGAGCTTAGCAGTAAGTTTAGAAATCAGAAAGTCTGAGTCTTCCAACTTTTATTTTTTCCCAAGATTGAGTTGGCTATTCTTATTCTTTCATTATTAAGTTGACAGTGAATTGGACAGACTGTCAGGACCAGAGATAGGAGGCAGAGATTTCTTAGAATATTAACAAACTTTAGAATTTCTCTGACAGAGCTAGAGTAGATCTAGATTATAGAAATATCTGTTGATTAACAACTGTATATGGTAACAAAACATTGTGTTCTGAAATTTTAGGACATAAAGTCATGAGGAAAGAGACATCTAAGACAAATTTAGCAAGTAAAATCCAAGATATTTGGTGACAAAAGGATTAGAAAAGATAAAATTCCAAAGTTTTAAGTTTGGTGAGAATATTGTTGATATTGGCAGAATAGAGATGTCGGGGCAGGAAATAGTGGGGAGAATATGATTCTGGAATTAGACATACTGATTTTGAGGAATTAATTTGAGCTCAAGGTAGCAATACCCACTACATAGTAGAGCTACAGGACTGGGTATGAGAGCCTGAAGCACACACTGACTGAACATCACCTATAATGCAGAGATCACTGGACCCTGGAAATGGACCAGTTGTCTAGAGAGGGAGGCAAGAGGAAAACAGAAGCCCAGAAACAGGGTACTGAGGGCCAAAGAAAAGCTTAGCAAATAAAACAGAGAAGAAAATAATATGAGGAAGAAAACCAGTTAAACAGGATATCACAGAAGCCAACAGAGCTGAGGTTTCATATTATAAGTCAAAAGTGCCAAATAGTCCATCTATCAGCTTGACAGATGAGAAAAGGGCATTGGATTTGTTAACCTTTGGGCAGAAATGAGGGAGTTAAGAGAAAAGCATAAGCAATTAAGTATTTCTCTTTGCTTTCTGAGCTGAAAGCTACCTCTGAGATAATAAAGCTTTCTGGCCAGACAGAAATACTCAATTATAGGATGAATTAGCCAAGTGTATTGACTTTGGATGTGAAAAAGGAGATCAGCAGAAAATTTAAGGCAAATGAAGAAAATCACTATCTTACATAATATGTAGTAAACTTACAGAGCTCCTTATCTGGGCAACTCCTAGAAATCAGAAGGAGTTCAAGTTACCAGAAGAGGACCAGTGGTCTCAGTGGAGAATTGTGTTCTCCAGGCCTGAAGTGGGTTCTAGAAACAGCTCAGGAGTTGTCTTGAGATGGGATCGTGAGTTACTGGGTAGGGGTCCAGGTTCCCAACCTCCATTTCAACAGTGTTCAACCCTTAAGGAAGAATCTATAGTATCTGCTAAATATATTGTACTTCTCTACATTTTTGGTGTTTAAAAATAGGGTCTATGACTAAAATGTAGTTTGAAAGACACTAATTAGTGGAGGCAATGGGTTCACCAAACAGGGAAGGGACTGAGGGATGCCGGGAAACACTCCTGATCTTCAGGAAAGGCAGCCCTGCTCTCTTGTCTGTACAGGGCATTCTCCTGACTCTTTGGAGATGACTGTCTGATATAGTCTATGACAGTACTCCTATAAAATTCACTATTTTTTCTAATTATGTAATTTATATATTTATTATTTACATGTTGGAAAATATAGAAAAATGTAAATGGGAAAATAAAAATCACCTGTAAGTTTATTAGTTGCTGTTAATATTTTGGTGTATAACCTTTGAGACTTAACTATATAATGCTTTAACAAAATAAACATGTTAGCTGACTTGCAAATAAGAAGGAAGTTCACAGAAGACAGAAAGTTTTCATGCCCAGAGAAAATAATATGTGTATGAGGATCAGCAAGAAAATAGCAGAGAACCTTATAATTCATCCAAAGTGTGAAAGCAACCAAGAACCAGTTTGGTTTATGAGAAGGGAAACGACCAAGCAAGGCAATTCCTAACTATGCCTGCAGAGCAAATTGGAGTGAGACAGAAAATAGCCCATGAAGTCATCCAAGAGGCTACTGCAGTATCCTGGATACAGAAGGTGAGGGCAGGCTGCAGGTGACAACGTGGTGGAAAAGGGTGAATTCAAGAAGGACTGAATTTGTACTATAAAGCTATCAGGGGTGGTAGCCATAGGGAGAAATAATAATAATAAAAAAAATAGTGATAGAAGCTAACATTTATCAGATGTAACATACACTGGGTAGTTTAAGTGCTTTGCATCTAATTTAAGCCTTTTGAAAGTCCTATGGATGAGGAAACTGAGGCACAAAGAGGTTTAGAAACCTAGCACCATTTTGGCTTAAGGTAAGGAATGTGTTTCTAACAGAGCTTCCAGAAGGCAGGAGAGATGGCTTTCTTGGGGAGGGTGAATTTCTGGCATTAGAGGTGTATCAGCAAGGGCTTGGGCAGGGTGGTCAAAGACTCAGTGGTCTGGCTCTCTTACCCTCTGACATGCTGCTCAAGCAGAATGAGCTGGGCACAGCTGGAAAACAGGGCTTAGGAAGACTTACTGTAGAGACCCTGAAGGCAGGCAGTACTGGAAATGGTTACAAGGATGGGAGGGAAGGGCTGAGTGACTAAAGTTCTGCCACGTCTTCTCCCAGAATGCCATGGTGCACAGCAGTGCAGAGCATGTGCTCTGGGGGCCAGACAGCTTGGGTTCAAGTCTCAGCTCTATCGCCCACTGTGACCTTGGTGTTAGCTGACCTCCCTAGGCCTCGATTTCCTCGTCGTTAAAGTGAGGACAATAGCGTCTACTTCACAGAATAGTTGTGTAGCCTAAATGCAATGATACATTGAAAGTGTTTAGGACTAAGTCTGTCATACAGAAAGTGGGCAATAGATATTATTACCACCTGTACAATCTTAAGCAACTTTCTTAACTTCCCATGCCTCAGTTTACTATCTATAAAATTAGTATAACAATAGCAAGTAAGGCTGGGCACGGTGGCTCATGTCTGTAATCCTAACATTTTGGAAGGCCGGAGGAATGATCACTTGAGGCCAGGTGGAATGATCACTCAAGACCAGCCTGAGCAAGAGCCAGACACTATCTCTACAAAAAATTAAAAAAAAAAAAAATTAGCCAGGTGTGGTGGCTCACACCTGTAGTCCCCAGCTACTCAGGAGGCTGAGGCAGGAGGATCACTTGAGCCCAGGAGTTTGAGGTTGCAGTGAGCTGTGACACTATTGCACTCTAGCCTGGGCAACAGAGCAAGTCCCTGTCTCAAAAAACAAAAACAAAAAAACAAAGAAATAACAACAGCAAGGGAGATAAGGCATATACAGCACTTAGCATAGTATCTGGCATATTGTAAAACTACTGTCAACATTAAAGAGAGTAGCAGCTGATATTTAACAAGCACTTACTACATGCTTATAAGCACGAAACACTAAGTGTTTCATGTTTAACTAATTTAATGCTTGCAATAGCTCTATGAAACAGGTAATAATGTCTTCCAATAACTATCACTGAATGTTAGCTATTATCAGTATAACATAGTTTTTTTTAAACATGCCATTATTATGTCAAAAAAATAAACAAACCTAAACAAGCAAAAAAATCCCAACAAAACAAAACCACCAAACCCTCTTCTCTGCTCTGGATTTAGAGAGGACCTATGTTCGTTCCCCCATTCATGTTCCAGAATTTGAAGAGGGTTAAGGTAAAAAAAAAGTATTTATGGGTGTGAGCTATAATTTGCCACTTTTAGGGTTTAGTCCTTTTTCTGCCCCCCATTTGGCCTGCTATTCACTTCTACTGAGCTCTTTGGTTTTGACTATTTTTATAATTTACAAAGATCAGTTTAAAATTTCACTCTCCTGCTAGTGAGGGTGCCATCTCCATACTTAATGATGCATGTGTATTTGCCTACAGCGAAACTTACTCATGTAGGCTAAGTGGTAAACAAATCCCAGCTTTTCCAGAAATTTGGTTCTGGAATTTTGCCAAGTATGTTTTTAACAAACAGGCAAGATTTAGGTTTAATTAGCAGCAACTACCTTTGACTTTGGTGTTGAAATTAAAAATTCTTAAAAGTTGTTTATTTATTATGTAAATTAAATATCTCTTAAAGTTTATTTACATCAAAGTTTAATTTACATGACACATTTGATTGGTTGACCATTTCTTTGTGGCTCAATCTAATAAAAGTTCAAAGGATCTCAAACTTGAAGGGAAGTTCAGGTCACTAAGGTCCACACTGTGGCAGCTGGTGGGAGGCCAACTGTCCACGGCCCAGGTGTCCCCTTCCCAGATCACAGCATATCCAGGCTGCATCTGGACAGACGGGCTTGGGCACATGTGGAGCAAATCTCCAGTCTGCTCATGGTTTTACGTGTCTCAGTAACTGTGGGCTTAGGCCTATGCTGGCCTCTCATCTAGCTGTGTGGTAAGGACTTACATATCCAGATGTGAATGTATGCATTGCTGTCTTGATTCTTGCTTTTAAAAATCACGAAGACCTAAAAATAGAAATTTTTCTCTAAAAATAGTTCCCTAAAGAACACTGGACTAGAACCCCCACACTCTGAGCTGATGCTGTACTGATCCTCTTTGCTAAATTCTTGCCGGTAAAAAAAAAACCTGTAATAGCCATATGTAGGGCCTGCCCAGCTTGCAAGCTGGGATGTGCGGAACTGTTAGGAATGTAGCAGCAGTACGCCCTACACCATTACGCTCCAGTTCTGAACATGAACTTGGAGAGATCATTGCATTTCAGTAGCTTTTAGAACGATCTCTTTTTGCTATCTTATTAAATCTTTTAACCACTTGAGTTTCTGTTTCCTTGCATGCAAAATGAGGGTAGAAATATTGCCTACCTCGCAGGATGAGTGCGAGGAGGAAATAAAATCCTATGTGTGGTGAGCATTCTGTGCACCCAAACTATAAAGATGCCAACCTCAGGTCTCTTGAATTCCCAATAGCAGTTGCCACAGGACTGGGCACATAGGCAAAACCAATTGATCAAACGAAAGAAACCAATTCCATTTGAGTTTAACGTGTGCCCTTTGATTGACAGCCATCAAAGCCAAGGTGTGACCAACTGCCCAATCCTGTTACGATGGTGAGATCAGAACCAGCTGTGAAGGGAACAAGGTATTGTTAGAAAATTATGGGAGGGGAATATGGCAACACTACTTAAATTTTATATGCTAAACCAGGGGTCTTGCCAAAATTGTGAAAAACAGGGATTCCCAATTCTGGTTCTACCTTGGGGTCACTGGAATCCTGAAGTCCATTTAGCACCTAACTCTGCTCCCTGAGTCCAGCCCAGCTCAGCCCTGGCCTCCTGGCTGGCCCAGCCTGGGCTGCCTGGCCTCTTGCCACCTTCAGTGACCTGAAATTAACATCTTCAGCAGCACTGATTATGCTTGTGATGGTCTTTGCACAGCTACTGCAATCAGCATTTTTATGTAAATCAAATGTCTATGGCATAAATGTCCTCAGTTGGTTAGTAAATTTCAGAACCGAAGAAACAAAAGAGAAATGTTTTGGAGATCAGTCTGGAAAGAAAGAGGAAGGAGAGAGCAGAGAGCTGGGAAGTGTCTGGACCATGTGGCCATGGGACTCCAAGAAGTAGAGATTCATTTACTCAGTCAACAAATATTTCTCAAGCTAGTCCTAGTGGCAGGGCACACAGCCAGATGGGGGAAGACGTGCAGACAAGCAATAAAGATGAATTATGACAGGTGTTGTGACCGGGGACAGGGGCTCTCTGAGCTCAAGGTGGAGACCTTGACCAGTCCAGGGAAAGAGAAAACCTCCCTGAAGAAATGAACTCTAAGATGAAACTGGAAGGCTAAGTAGGCATTGGAAAGATTTTTGCAATTTTGGGGGGGAGGTTGGAAGACAGGTATAAAGTGGAAAAGTGACCTGGGCGGAGGCATAGAGTGATGTGGTAGGTTCTGTAGAGTCCGTATATTTAGACACCAGAAATTCTCAAGTTATATAGTTTTTGCTGCAACTTTAACTTTAGCATAAACATTTCTTTAGGCTTTTTGAATTTATCTAACCACAGCGCTGGAATGAGTCTCATCCCATGGGAGTTTGTTGCTCAGGCTCACTGTAGGCTCTAGGTATACTGGAGTCTAAATTTGCTTGCCATTAATTTCATGGGCCAGTTTCTCATTCCTGGTCTTATAGCCCTGTTTAAAAACAAAAACAAAACCAAAAACCACTAAAATTCTTGGCTCAAAAGGGCAGCTCTAATTAACATATCAATTTGGAACAAAATAGAACAGACTCAACAGTCTTCGACTGCACAAACATAAAGCAAAATAAAAACATGAAGTGTTCACTGAGGCCAGTTTACTAACGCCGAGTAAAGAGAGGGGAGCGTGTAGAAGTGAGAGCAGGTGTAACCTGTCCTGGTCTTATGCCAGAAACAAGAGCCAGAGGAATCTAATACAAGGAAAAGAGGAGAGGAACAATAAAGGAAGCAAAAAGAAAATGGAAAAGAAAGAAGATGGGTGGGGCAGGGGAGAAAGAAAAGGGAAAGATGGTGGAGGAGGGGAGGAGGAGGAGGAAGAGTAGGAGGAGGAGAAGGAGGAATATTGTATCAGCCAAAATATTCAGAGAGTATTTTCAAGCCAACTTTTACTTTTTACCTGTATTTATCTGCCTCTCTACTTGTCAGACTTTTCCAAAATTAGGTAAGGTCAGTGTGGTTAGGGACATACAGTGAAGCTCAGAGTAGCTGGGGTTCAGCATCATTTCATGCCTTACTCTAACAGGCACTTAATAACCACGTATTGTGTTATTTTTCAGTTATCCAAGCTGCCATGCCACTTCTACCGGAGCTAACTCACGGCAATATTAGCATCGAAACTGAGATCTCTGGCTGTGGGGCCAAGACCGCCCCAGCCAGCCCCACTACTTCCTAGCCCTGTAACCATGGGCATTTGACTCAGCCTGTTTTCTCACTGATAAAATGAGCAACTATCTTAGAATTTCTTGGGAGAATTAAATGAGGTAGTACATTGAAAGCCCTTAATAGGATCCCTGGCACATAATAAACTCTCAATAAATGTCAACTAGTATTATTTTAATTAAATATGGTAGTTGTTGAAATTACACAGTTTAGTTAAGGCAGTGGTTTTCAAACTTTTTAAGTGGCAAAAATATTTCCTCCAAATAAATCATGCAGAGCCACCCATCATCTACAAACACCTAAAAGCTGAGCTATCCATCGTCTACCTAGGTTCTTCTGTGGCAGAGCTCCATGGAGCCCAGGTGGAAGCCATTGCACAGGACACTCTGCTGCACGCCCCCCATAAAGACACAGGTGCGAGTGGCAGGTGAGGGCCTGGGGGGCGGGGCCAGCATGTGGGGGGTGGCTGGTTTGTAGGTCTGGGTCACAGTGGGCACTGCCTCCCTTGGGGCCCCGCAGCTCTGCCCGTGTGTACCAGAGAAGAGTAGAATGGAGAGGCCTGACCGCCATCCACATTTCCCCTCATTTCTGAACTTAAACCTGATGGCATTAAGTTTTCTCTTACGCTCACACTACTTCTTTAGGATCCTGCCTGTCCTTGGCAAAATCCTCACGACGTGAAACAGGACTGTCAGGAAAAATATGCCAGACTTGAAGCTGATCATAAAAAGGTGAGGAGGAAAATTACAGATGTTATTTATTACCTACAAGGGAGAAATCAAAATGCCCATAATTTTTATGTATGCACTCCACATGACGGATTTCAAATGAGTCTGAGTTTATGATTTTCAGTTTACAAAGTCAATTTCTCTGACACCTACTCACTCAGTCCATGGTCGATATTTTAAAAGTCCTAGTGAAAAAAGGGCTTTGATGTGGCTTGCTCAGCCTAGACGTAGTTCAAATGTTAATCATTATTGAATGGTGCATAATAAGTATTCAGAGAATGTGCCGGTGTTACAGGGAATTTCAACAGTTGGCTAATGTCTAACATTGGCCAGGAGTGTCAACCGAGCAGCATAAACTAAAACAACAGAAAACAAGGATTCAATGAATCCTCAAATTATGTCCATCCTAGCAAATGAAGCCATCTGTATCTGAAATGGGTTCATGAGAGATCTTCTCATGCTTTGGTGTAAATTAAATCTTGAATAAATAACTTATATTATTCATTTACTTATTAAATAACTATTTTGCTGATCACCCTATGTGCTAGAGGCTAAATCTTCAAAATGATTAAGCCACAGTCCGGCAGGTAATAATAAAATAATTTCATTCAAACACCATAAATTTGAAAATGGTGGAATAAACATTTGTTGCCCGAATGAATAAAATGCGCAAAGTGCTAGGAGATTCCAAAGGAGATATTAATTCCCTAGGAGGATGCAGGAAGGTGATGCTTGTGAGCTGGGCCCTAAGGACGGATGGCAGTGACAGGTAAAGTAAGTGTGACAAAGATGATCCAGACCCTCCAGAAGGAGGGTCTCTCTTTTTGAAATCGTCTCGCTAAGGCGTCTTCCTCTTTTCCAGTCCGAGTGAGGAAATGCATGCAGAGCACTTGCGCAGTGCCTGGCGCAGAGAGAATGCTCCATCAGGGCTAGTTTTCTTCTCTATCTGGCATTCTTTTCAGCCTCCTTTTCTGGCTGCTGCTTTCTCTGTTTGCCTCCTCAGTGTTTCCCCAGGTCCCATGCTCAGCATTCCCCTGGGTATTCTAGACTCCAAACCTAATCTCCGACACCAGGCCCTCTAGCCCAGGGGAACCCACCCAGGACGCCTCCTGCACGTGGCCCCTGCGATCAGTGCTCCACTCCTGCATGTGCAGACAGGGGATTTGACGTCTCCCTCCCGTTTCTGGCCTTGCTCTCCAAACATGTTCAACCTCTTCAGCTTGCGCCTCCCCTGCCTCCATGGATGACAGCTTATGTGGCTCTCTGGGGCTTCATCACCTTTCTGCTGCCCCCGACGAGCCGCCCTGCCTCTTCTCAGCCCTGTGCTGGGGTGAGGAGTGGGGGCATGGGTCAGAAGGATCCAGTATCCCTGACTGCTCAGGAGACAGTGTCTAGGGCAACTCCCCTCTGACATCCCATCTGCACTGCCAAGTCCTGGACTCCCAGCTGGGTGCCTTATCCCCACGTCTCAGTTGTAAGGTGGAAGACACATAAGGGCTGAGAAGAGAGAGGGGTGGAGGATGGAACCCTGGAGAGAACCACCATTTGAAAGGCTCCTTCCTAGGGGAAGGAGCCTCTCAAAGACTGAGAGGAAGAGTTAGACTAGAACACCTTGGAAGCCAGGGAAATATTCCACAGAGAAAACGGGTAATGTCAAAGAGAGGAAAAATATGAGAAAGTACAAAAGGAGAACACTGGATTTAGCAAATGGGATGTCACCGATGACAAGGAGACAGAGGTTGTACTGGGCTTTTAACATATAAATCCCACCATAAACATGAACTTGGGGGCCAACGAGCTTGTAACAACAAGGATAAGACAGAAGACTGTATTTTCTCTAATCATCCTCCAACCAAAGTGACAGCAGATGGCCATTTCCAGTTCCGGCAGCAGTGTCCACGTGCCAGCACCCTCTCCACTCCCGCCCCGCCGCACACCAGGCTAATCGAACACAGATCTATGGCTGCCCATTGAATTCACATTTTTAGTCTGTCTCTCTCTAAATACACGTTTTTAAAGTAATTGGTAGAGTCTGTCAACAAATAGCTATAAATAGGCATTGTGTGTATATAAAAAAAAGGGAAACCAAAAATATTCATCTTCAGCCTGTGATTAAGATGATGAGCATGAGCCAGGCTGAATCGCCCGCACTCTGGCTAAGGATGAAAGAAGAAAGACCCCCCCCCAACTCCCCGCCAATGTGGCCTTTAGTGAAATACCGACCACAAAGCCTCACGGTCCAAAACGCCTTGCTGAAGGCCAAGCTCTTTCTGCCTTGTGCAGTTCATATTCCAGTGTGCAGGAAAGACGCGTCTAGGCTCTGAGCACAATTCTGGATAGGGATGAAATAATGCTATTTTAATACTTAGTTTGAAAGGGGGCCTTGCTCGTGGAATCAGCCCATGCTGGCTGTCAGCTGGGCCTGGCCTCTCCTGGCAGCCTGGAGACGCTGCCCCTCGAGACCCCGGGAGCCCACAGTGGGGCGGCAGCAGCAGCAATCACAGTGCAGAAAACTGAAGCCAGCTGGCACTCTGCCAAGGGCAGCCCTCCACCGCATTGCTACCCATGCCCCAAACCCCGGCATGTCACACAGACCCTGTAATCACCGACATGAGGGCCACTAGGTGCTGCTTGCCAAATGTAAAAAAGCAAAAATTTGAGACAACTCTTTCTAGCCTACCCCGGTTCTTGGCAGCAGCCCAGTTGAAACTAAGGATGTTTTATATTTTGAGAAGCTATCAGGGTCTCACCTAAACTGGGATTCAGAACAGTCTCTCTTTCCAACGAAAACAGGAAGACATCTCAGACAGTAGGCAAAGATGGCTTCTTTGCTCTATAACTGATTTAGGGAGAATAAAATATTAAAGAGGTGCCACCAGTTCTTCAGATTAGCTTTGAAAAGGGTCGGGTCCACAAAGCACCCGCTTTACATGTTCATGAATTTGTAAATCAAATTCATGATTTGAATTTGACAGCTTGAGTCCAACAGATACCCGAGATTCCTGAAGCCTTGGTCGTCTCTCAAACAGCCCAGCGTAACTCTCACATTCATTATCTCCAAGTGCTTCCTGGGGGATGCCAGCTGCAGGGCACCTCACCCACATTCATGAAATGACTCACAGGGGGGCAGGATCCGAATCCGTGCTGGCCGACCCAGCCTGGAGAGGCACTGTCTCCTTAACAGTCATTTTGCTAAAGCAGATGAGAGGTACTTAACTCTAAGCACCACCCTTCCTCTTCTCCGTCCCTGACACTGGTGCTGGCCTACTCACATCAAGAATGATGTGTACAGTAAAACCCACGTCTCAACCTGCATATGGAAAACCAATTAAGATGGGGGAAAAAACGAGACAGAACTGAATTTTCCATCTGACTCAAATAAGAATGCTTAGAATTAGGCAGATTTAGAAATGGAATGGAGGGGCCTACCATCATATTGAAGTTTCACTTTATTAGAGGATGGTACATTATGGAGGTTTAGGTGAGCAAAACCTCACAGTGTCAGGGTAAATTTTGAAAATTTAGCTGGTTGATCTGATGCCCTCTCCTGGCTCTAGTATGGTTTGGCACATAGCAAATCTTGATAGCATGGAAAATTTAAAAGATAGACCCCCTGGGGCAATACCACTATACCCTGCAGCCTCTTTCTTGGGGAAAGGAGGGTTGTGAATAGGAAAGTGGGAATATTTGTAATCAAACACACCATCACAAACCCAGAGTCTGCTTCCTGAACAGGCAAAAGAAGCAAAGTAGGAAGCTGCCTACAGAGGGTAGAGGAGTATTCACAGGCTCCATCACAACCAAACATTTTGCCCAAAGACCTCCTCTTGGGGTTGGAATTCCCAGAAAAAAGCATTCTCCCTTAACTGACTAAGGCTTTGCACTTTAGAAGGTATCATATATTGCTGGGCATGGAGGCTCACACCACAGTAGCCTCCACTTTTCGAGGCTGAGGTGGGAGGACTGCTGGAGCCCAGGAGTTTCAGACCAGCCTGGGCAACACAGCAAGACCCCATCTCTAAAAAATTAAAAATAAAAGAAGGGATCATATAGTAAAAAAAAATAATAAATCATCAAGAATTTTTTGAGCATCTGCTATGTTCAAGAAACTGTGCAAGGTGTCACAGGAATTACAGAAAAGCATTGATTCCTTTTTTTGACAATATGCCAGGTACTCTTTTAGATACCAGGAGACCTATCTCTACTTAAGAATCTTAGAACAAATTGGAAGAATAAATGTCAATAAAAGGCAATATGACAAATGCCAAAGGACTGGTAAGATGCAATTTAAATAATCTAAGCATTAATTGAGCACCTAGTATTTGTGAGCCATCGTGCAAAGGGCTTTGGGGAATAAGTGCTGTAGGATTCCAGAGACAGTAAGCCTATTTTGGGTTAGTGGGGTAAGAGATGGCGTCCCAGAGAGAGTGAGACTTGCTGGGGAGGGCTCACACTAAAGGATCAGTAGGATTCAGAGAGAGCAGGTAGGAACAGGACATCCCAAGCAGAGGGGAATAGTACGAGGTAGGAATTCACCAGGTCCGTTTGAATAGTTGGGCACTCTGGCTGGCTGAGGGAGGGCAGGGTAAGAACAGTTTGGAAAGGATGGGTTGGGTCACTTCCCCCAAACTACAGAAGTTAGAACTTTTTCAGTAGGTTACTGGAAGCCAGTAACATTTTTCGAGCAGGGATGAAAGGCATATTTTTGTAAGATATTTCTCCATATTCACTACGCTGTGATTATTAAGCTTCTCAGAAGACCTGATACTATGAAAGAATTGCTCTATATGACAGCCAGGAATAACTCGTGACACTGGAAGGGGATATTCTACATGGTAAATGTGTAAACCAGCATTTTATATTAGAGCTGAAAGAAACCAAAAAGTCTGGCTGGGCGAGTACTGAACCAGTCCAGGCCTGGGAGGCCGAAGGAAAGTCCAGATGACCAAGAAAGCAGGAAAAAGGACTACTCGGTCTGGAATGGCATCACGGGAGGAACACAC